AAATAATATTTAAAGATTTCTATTGATAAGAACATTTATTCATATTCATTTTTCATATTTATATTATTCTTTATAAGAACATTTGTTCGGAACACACTGTAACTGTAATCGAACGAAGGTGATACTTTGGCATAAATTGGTAACACTTATTTGACAGTTGCGGTGTTTAAAGTGAATACCTCTTATTTTATATTTTTACCTATTTAATAAAATCTGTTCTTTTTAGAACAAATTAAGTGTGTTTTATTTCAAATGTCATGTAAGAATTTAAATAGTCGTTGTAAAGAGATGGTAATACTTTTGCAATAATTATGTGACCTATTTGATTTAAAATGGAGTCATGATTTTTTTATACTTTGGCAACTATATCAACTTCGATCTCTGTCAATGATAATGACGTGCAATGGTAAGTAAATTAGATGAAGTATAAGTGGTACAGCAAACATACAATTTTCTTAATGGGACACCCTATGTATTTTTTCAAATTTGTATCCTTCTCATAATTTTTGTTCTTATAATAATTACTAATAGGAATAAGCCACAATTAAATTTTTTTGTTACTCTGTGAAAATTTCTTCTAATAATTTAATTTTATCTGACTCATTTATATTGACAATTCAAACATACATTATATGTTTTAAAGTAGACGACTTTAAAATGATATTGCCAATATAGTTGAGGTGCGGTCCTGGGACGACTTTACTTATAAGATGGTTCATTCGATTACATGAAATCAACTTTACCATGAGAATATCCGTTAGAAAAAAATTATAGCAGGTAGTTCATCATGTCTTTATAAACACAAACACATGATGCCATGATGACAGTAAAATTCCCCTGTTAGTGATTCCATAGTAAATTATGAGGGAAAAACCAGGAACAAAACCTCATAATACTATCCAAACATGGTAGGTCGTGCATTTAGTTGACTTTCAATAAACACCAAATTCTGATTTTATATGTTTGTTATTTAAAAAACATAAATGATGTATTCTCTATATGTTATTGACTTATTAATACTGGTATTTTCTTTTTAATAACTTCCTCTTTTAATATGGGTAACCAGATCGTACTACATTCTGCAGAGGAATTTGCGACACAATTGGTCTCATTTAGCATAATTAGAGCAGCTTCTTTGATTTTTCTCTTTTTACCACCCGTTTCTTTTATTTACGAATGTGCCATTAGATAAGACTTTAAATATAGTCAAGACAAAATTAGAGAGTGATGATACATTAGCATCTAGAACAAGACTAAACATATCAGCTAAAATGGAGTTATTATCATTATGTATTGACAATACATATTTTCAACTAAATAATGAATTCTATAATCAAAATTTTGGTCTAGCAATGGGCTCTAGTTTATCTCCATTACTAGCCGATATATTTATGGAAGATTTTGAAATAAATATTACTTCTAAACAAAATTTAAAACTCGCAGTATGGTGGCGATATGTAAATTATGTATTCTCAATATATTCTCATGGATCAGAGTTGTTGGACACATTCCTGAATGATACAATCTATAAAGGAGAAACAATAACATTTACCATGAAAAAGGAATATAATAACACACTGCCTTTCTTGGATGTTTTAATCTCTAAGAACGATACTAAATATGAGACTCAGGTGTATAGAAAACCAACACACACCAACAGATATAATAAGGAATTTTCAACAATCGACAGAATAGAACAAAACTTGTAACGAGATCCTACAGCATACACAAGGAATAATACGAGGAAGATAACAATGGCATACATAAAAGGATTATTAGACAAACTTAAAAGGATAGGAAACAAATTCAACATTTTAGCAACATTCAAAACAACAAACACATCGAGATCTATTTTGTCTAAAACCAAACCTAACAATGAACAAGAATTGCATTAATCAAAACCTTGTGAATGCGATCAGTTTTATTTAGGTGAAACATCAAGACCATTAAATGTTAGAATAAGTGAACATCAATCTTATATTAAAAATAGAGAATTTATTAGATCTCAAAAATGTAAACACGCATGGAATAATAAACATAGGGTTCAATGGAATGATTCAAATATAGTCCTAAAAGAAACGGATGGTAAAAAGAGAAAAATCAAATAAGCGGCTCTAATTATGCTAAATGAGACCAATTGTGTCCTCGCAAATTCGTGCAAATTCCTCGGCAAAATGTAGTAGGATCTGGTTACCCATATTAAAAGAGGGAAGGAAAATACGAGTATTAGTAAATCAGTAACATATAGACGATACATCATTTATGTTTTTTAAATAACAAACATATAAACTCAGAATTTGGTGTTTATTGAAAGTAAACTAAATGCACGACCTACCATGTTGGAATAGTATTATGAGGTTTTTTTCCTGGTTTTTCCTTCATAATTTACTATGAAATCACTAACACGAGAATTTGACTGTCAATATGGCACATATTTGTCTTTTTAAAGATGAATTACCTGCTATGATTTTTTTCTGACGGATATTCTCAAGTTAAAGTTGATTTCATGTAATCGAATGGACTATCTTACAAGTAAAGTCGTCCCAGGAACGCAACTCAACTATATTGGGAATATCATTTTAAAGTCGTCTACTTTAAAATGTATAATGTATAGCATTTTTCGTATAAAAAAGCTTGCTCGTTATTCAAGATTTACGTAGTCAGAACCCACAGCGTTGCCAAAACAACAGAATAGTTAGTAAGTGAGGCATTTTTAAAATGTCCACTATTTTCAAACTATTATATTATTTTAACAGTAAATACACTTAGTTTTAAGACTACTGCAACACTTTAAAATACATAAGAAAACATTTTAATACAAAATTATGTATTCTAAATTTTAAACTTACCTCTTTTAGGGCTTTAATAACAAAAACGTCCCGCCATTATTTCTTGTTCAAAATATCTTGTTAAAAATCTTATATGAAAGCTTATGAGCTTTCTACAGACTTTAATTTGTTTTGGCATATCACAATCACAATACACAACAATAATTAGTTTTTGAAAGCTATTAATCTAAATTTAAAATGTATTTATAAATACAATTTATTAATATATTATAAATTATAATCAAATTGTGTAAGAAATCAAAACATAAACAAAATTTCTACTCTAAAAAGCGGCAACACTTTAAACACTTTTGCCATCCGCTGAACTGTCAATAATATTTGATATATTTCCATATCAGTTGCGTACAATTATCTAATATATTTAATTAAAATTATTATTTTGTGGAATATTAGACTTCTAGAGTAATTTCATAAAATTTATATTATTAATAATAATAAATGTTTTTGGTTATTTAATCAATATAATTATAAAATTTTTAATATAATGATGATTATATTTTTCTGATTATTACACCATGTTGACGCCTATGAAAGATTGAAGTAACAAAAAAACAAATTTTGTTTAATTTACTAATGTTTGTATTTTGAGAACGATTTCCGAAGTGGAAATTGATACGTCCACAAACTAATTTTTGCTTTTAATCGTGGCTTATTCCCATTTAAATAGTAATGACTTTAAAATGCCACAAGAAAATAGCTTCAGACAATATTTGTTCTTATAGTATTGAGCTTTGCATTACTTTACAGAGTATAGAGTTATTTAAGTTATGACCATTTTTTATTTCGAAATCTATATGAAATCAACACAATGTACATAAAAAATAATGCATAAACAATTATTTATTTTACATTATAAAGTAAACAATATATTGTAGTTTTAAAATTAAGTTTAATTAAAATCGTTGACAAAAATTTGTATAGGGGATGAACTACAAAACCAAAAGTACGATTTTCTCAATTTTTTTAAATGGATCATCCTTTATTTTATTATTAATAAATATTGTATTTATGATAATCTTTCGTTTTTATATCACTAAAAGAGAAGCTGTCTTTTTTTGACTTAAAAATATTAATGTGGCTCGGTCATTTGAATATCGGTTACAAACTTCTATAGACATTGAAGGTGGACATTTTGAATTTTTACTTTAGGCTCATTTCCTTAATATTAAAAATAAAATACAGGGTGATCAATTTAACAATTTAAAAATCGTAATTTTGTTTTGCAGTTCAACCTGTATACAAATTTTAGTCAATAATTTTAATTAAACTTAATTTAAAAACTGCAATATATTGTTTACCATACTATATAAAATAAATAATTGCTTATGCATTATTTCTTTATATACATGATGTTGATATTATAGGGATTTTGAACTAAAAATGGTCATAACTTGTTAAATTCTCTGTATACAAAAAGAACAAGAATTATGAGAGAAATATAATTATAAAAAATATATAGGGTGTCCCATTTAAAAAATTGTATGTTTGCTATACCACGTAGTTATTAATCACCCTTGTAGAATTCCACATATTTTTCAGGTAAGGAGAACATCATTACGTACATTTTTTCTAAATAAGTTTTTTGGATATCTTGTACCACAATGAAAATATCGACCGATATCGCTCTAAAAAATTACCCTGTATATACAAGGTGCGCCAAACCTATAGCTTTTTTGATTAAGGCTAATCTATAAAATATATAACAAATATTTTAAACAAAACTAATATATATCAAAGAAGTTTACGAGTTAAAATTATTGTCGATTATACAATGTCAGTCAGAACAACAGACAGACCAAGAAATGGACTAGCAACCTTAAATAAATACATTAAACTGCCAACGAAAATGCAGAATTGCTTATAGATGGAAAGCAGAAAAAGAACTAAAATACTGAAATGCATTATTGACTTAATATATATTAACGTAGATAGAATATTGTAGGTAAGATATGCATAAAATGTCTTTTTTACTGATATATTTACGCACTCACCTGGTGGCTTCTACTGTGAATTTTTCCATCCATAAAAAAGTAACACTTTTTGCACTTGTTTCCATATAAAATCAGATAAAAATTTTATATTTTATTATAGGATTAATAAAATAAAAGCACTAGAACCAGAAATATTTATGTACATACCAAAATACAAAAAGGTTGTTTCATTAGACTATATTATTACATTATTATTCATTTACTGAACACTTTTACATTCTTTTTCGGCTTCTTCGCTAGTTATCCTGATGGGTTGTATGATTTTCTGGTACTCTGCAAAATTACAGTCTTTAGAACATCCATTCAACACTATGTTTCTCATCATTGTACTGTTTTTAAAATTGATGTTAAGAAAAGGTTCTCCTTCTCCACGCCTGAGTTCGAACATAACTGTAGACGCATATTCTGGCCAAGTGTTGTCATATACTTTCAATGTGTTAAGAAGATGACTAATAGTACTATCGTGTACAGAGAGCATCAAAAATTTTTGTGAATCTTTAGGATTCTGAAGTACATCTTCAAAGAAAGTAGTTATGTAGTCAACAAGTGGACCCGATTTCAATCTTGCTAACTCTGTAGTGGACGTGTCCAAAACATACACTTTAGTTAATAAGGGTAAGGTCTTGTGCGGAAAGACTTTCTTTGTCCATTCAGGTATAGTCAAGTTTATATAGTTTTCTATGAAAAGAGTATCGTGAAGGAACGTGACATCTCCCAACGTCGTAACATTTTCTCCTGCGTGCTCTGTTAAGTAGTTAAATAGATCTTTTCGCTCCTCCATAAAATCGGTAAAATCTTTTGATGAAAGCAGATCCGAATAAAGCTTTTTATATTTTGGACAATAAGCTTGGCCAACTACGGTATAATCTTTGATTTCTGGTGTTGTATGAATAGGTATTGGCTGCCAAAGAAGATTCGAGTTCCAAATTTGCTCCTCTTTTGGAGGAAACAGTGCCGCCAGATTTGCAGCTGCAGACATTATACATCTGTCTTTATCTGAGGAGACAACACGAAGAAAGTTCGGGTCGTACTTTTCCGGTATAAAGTCTTTATAATACTTACGGTACCACTGCCCAAGCGCGAATTGTTGCCTTTTGCCTAGATTTGTCAAGTGTCCCAACCCTTCAGGCCAAATGTCAAAAAACTTGTCATTATATGGATCACTTTTAAAAGTTTTTCGTGGTGATCTGCATCCATGGCGGAATAACACTGTAACAGCTAATAATTCACTTTTCTCGCACTCCACTAATAAGTTTATCGATAAAAAAACTAAAAATTTTAGTAGTAATTTAACCATTTTGGTTGAAACTGTGGACTGTCACTAAAAATTTATGTTTTTTCTACATCGAGGGTTTCAAGACTGTTAATTACTATTTTATGCCGCTTATATGTTGGCGGATGTAACATGTTTAGTATGCAAATATTATCCGTGACATTTAAAGACAATAAAAGGAAACACAATAAATATTTATACGTAAAAAAATATAAATATTTATAATTTAAGTGAAAGTAAATTGTTTAATCATTTTTTCGGATAGAAAGTAGTGAATTGATTTTAAAATATTTTTTGGAGGGTAATAAAAACAATAAAAACACATATTAAAAAAATTTTGAGTTAAAGGGTAATTGTTACTAATCTTGCATGGGTACCCATAATGCACTTATGGGTATGAACGTTATGTACTCAGCTTTTTTATAAAAAGAAGTATGAAAATATAATTTATTTACAAAACTTAACTGGTCTTAAAGTCCTAGAACTGAACATTTTAATTTTCTATTCTTCTTCTTCTCCTTGCTCAGCTTTTCCCTTTTCAGGGATCGCTGTTCCTTACTCTTGGTTCTCTCATTTCTGTCCATCGAGTCTTCTTCACCTAAACATTTTTCCCTTAAGTCTTCTGTCACACAGTCCTTCCATCTTCTCCTCGGCTTTCCTTTGTAAACCAAACCATTCCAAATCATTGCAGTCTTTGTTTTTGAATCTTTTTTGAGACTGCAGTCACCACGGCTCTTTCCCGAATGAAGTCGTTTATGACCATATTCTTTTCAGTCTTACCCAACATCCACCGTAAAATTTTTAATTTAGCTACCTCCATCTTCTTTTCCTGAATCTTCTTTTCAGGCCACACTTCACAGCCTTACACCAACACCAACATCGATCACAAAGTACTTCGCTCATTCACTTCCGCTTAAACCAACCAGCTTGTATCCTGTAAGCAATTTCTCGATTTAGTGACCGATTTTAGGTTATGTAGGATCCAAGGTATTTAAATTCTCCTACTCGTCCTAGTTTTTCTCCAAGCAATTCTATGTCCTCAATCATTTCTCTTCTTTCCGATCCCATACTTCGTTTTTAACCTGCTAACTTTAAGCCTTCTCTCTTCAATAGGTAAACAGGTAAGGACAGGGAAGTGCCTTCATTTAAACCAACCATCACTGGAAAACCTTCAGTCAATCTGACAGCAGTCCTTATTGTGGTATACGCTCCCTCATACATATCATTCACGAACCTTAAGTACTTTCCGTTTCTCTCTCATAATCTCCATAGCTCTTGTCTAGGAACTGTTGTTCGCCTTCTCAAGATTTATCAAATGTAGTTCCCTTTTCTTCTTACTGATTTTCTTTATCAACTATCTCAAAGAATTCAAGGCATCCGCTGTCCTTCTTTCTGACATCACTCTATCTTACAGTCCTAAATGTCTCCTTTATAATTATACAATGATACCATTACACTCTCCCTGCATACATTTGGCATCATTTCTTCCTCATATAACCTACTCATCATTTGTTACAAAATATCCACCCATTCCTCTCCTAGAGCCTTCTTAACCTCTTCAGGAATTTCTTTAGGTCCTACGACCTACAGCCTTACCACTCTTTATCCTATTTAATGCCTCGACGACTTCATTTTCGCTATCTTCGGTATTACATTTTTATTTGTGATCTCTGTATCTTCTCTGGTGTTCTTCATTTATCAACTTTCAGTACTCATACCAGATTTGCTTTATTTCAACATCGGTTCTTAACACTCTTCCATCTTCTTCTCATGGCGCCGACTCCTTTCGAAGGTTGGTGATTCAAATGGCAATTCTAGTTTTGGAATCAGCTGCGCGAAAGATTTCTGCGGATAAGCATATGAACCATTTCCTCAGATCTTTCAGCCGTCTTTCGTTCTTCCATCCGCACTCTTAATCTGCCACACGTAGGTCAAGTCCTTTGATGACTTATCCCTTGCTTTAGCAATGCTGCATAACCTTTTCATCCCCTCAGGTGTTTCCAACTCTTTATTCAACTGTGCACTCGATCTTTCTTTAGCAGTAGTTACAGCGCGTTTTGTTACCATCTTTGATACCTTGCATATATCCTTATTTTCTCTTTTAGACCTGTCATACCTCTTTATAGCCTGTTTCTTCTCTCCAACCTTCTGTTGCACTTTATCCTTCCACTAATAAGCTTCTCTAGTTACAGCGCGTTTTGTTTCCATCTTTGATACCTTGCATATATCCTTATCTTCTCTTTTAGACCTGTCATACCTCTTTATAGCCTGTTTCTTCTCTCCAACCTTCTGTTGCACTTTATCCTTCCACTAATAAGCTTCTTTGTCTCTAGCAACATGCTTGTCTCTAGCAACTTTACCAACATGTTTTTTCTATAACTTCCTCTCTGACTTGCAGCGTAACGTTGTTGCTGGCTTTCCATCAGTCATTTACCTTATCGTTTTCCTCAAGCTCTTCCAGCACTCTTCTCATAAATACTAATGCAAAATCATTACATTTAACTTTCACTACTTTACTTTCTGTTGTCCTACTTGCTTTTCTTTTCGCCTCACCTTATCTTCGTACCTAGTATTACCGGTCAGTGTTTAGCTACACAATAATCCATAAATACTTCCTGTTCTTTTTATACCAATATGTCAATTGAAGTCACTTCCAATAAAATTCTCACAATCAAGAGCCCTAAAAAATTCTTTCTTTTCCTGTTCTTCACACACTACCTGTGGGGCGTAGGCTCATATGATGTTCACGCTAGTAATGCCTGTATTTAGCTAAACACTCATTATTCTATCACTTTTTCTGGTTACTCTTACAAGATGTTCCTTCCATTAGTTGTTCAAGAGAATACCTACTTCATTTCTGCTGTGACTGCTGTTCGAACTACTATATATTAATTTGCATCCATCTCTAAGTTCTCTTAACTTATTACATCTTATAATTTTCCTACAAACAAAGTACACCAATCCTTCTTTTCCGCATGAAATCGGCGAGCTCTCTTTCCTCACCTGTCACACTTCCGACATTGGGAGTTGCAACTCTCAGGACTAGCTTCTTTGGGCCCCTTCCGTCTTCTAGGGGGCAGCCCTAGCTCACTTTTCGCAGGGGTCTAGTTTTTCATTATTTTAGCAAGGTTTTTATTGCCGAATGCCCCTCCCGATGCAAACTCTCCTTCTTTATCCGGTCTTGGGACCGGCACAGATAATTAAAGAGCTAGTCAATTCACCCAGTAACTACCAGAAGCGGACTGGTTCGAATGTACTTACTATTTACATTTATTTATATAAAATACATTTCATACAGCCTTTTCCTACATTTTTTTAACCACTTCCTTCAATTGATTTCTGTCCAATTTTGTCTTTAAAATTATCAATATTTCTTTTTGCAAGTCTTCATATAAACTGTCCTTTCGTCTCTTTTTTAGTCTACTTCTTCTTTTTTTGTATTTACTTTCGTGATGGTACCATTTTCGGCATTGTTTCCTTTTCCATTCTTTCAATGCATCCTAAACATCGTATTATCTGTGCTTTGATTAGCGTTCTTTAAGTCTTTATTTTTCCTTTTTTTCCATTGACCATCTATTTTCCCCACTTCCATATTGCATTTTGTACTTTTCTGACCCATCTTTTTAAAAGGTCTATTTCTGATTTTTTAAGCATCCATATTTCGCATGCATATATATCAATAGGCCTCATAACTGTTTTGTAGATCCTAATTTTTGTTTTTCTTGGAACATATTTGGATCTCATTAATGATCATAATGCTCTATAATTTTTTTCATCTAATCATGCTCCAATTAGCTTCAGCCAAACAACAAAAATAACCCCAACCAAGCCAAACAGTATCCAGACTCTACTCGGTGAAAATACTGCGCTGGAGGATCAGCCGGCGCACACCTAAGCGGCACGACTAAGGCAGCGCATAAAATGGATTGTGTCCATGAATGAAAATATTCTTATTATACTTCCATTATAATATGAATTAATCATTTCTAATCCGCAGGAAATGCCATCATTCTGTACTTAGAAAACAAATTATTTCATCCCAGGATCAAAATTATACTCAAAATCCAGGGCATTATAATATTTATTTTCGATGTGGCATTTAAAGATGTGACAACAATGTAAATAACCCTAACAATCCAAAATCTATAAAAATGGCGTACTCTGGATAATACCAATATAATCTATAATTTCCCTTGTCCATTTTTTTTAGGCATTATGAGAGAGTTTTATCTGGCCCTACTGATTTCCCCTATGTAGTGGCTTTAATTGCTATTTATACTTCACTAACTGTAATTGGAGGTTCAGTGTCACAAGTTACATTAGTTAGTAATACATTTCTTGCATCCTCAAATGTTTTCCTTACATCTAGCTATCTAATTAGCCTTCTTCGGTCCATCTTTGGACATAGGCCTCCCCGATTCTTTTCCATTCTTCTGTGTCTGTCGCTACAGTCATCCACCTAGAGCCCACGTGCTTCTTGATATCATCTGCCCATCTCATTTGGGGCCTTCCTCTACTTTGTTTATATTTCTATGGTCTCCAACTTATAAGAATTTTGTTCCATCGGTCTTTTTTTTATCTTATATGGTGTCCGGCAAATCTAATTTTTTCCAGAGCCTGATTGAAAAGTTTAGGTGATATTGTGTCACCCTGTTTCACGCCTTTATTTATTTGTATTGATTTTGTTCTTTCATATACTTTAATTATTGTTTTTACTTCCTTATATATATTGGCTATTAGTTCCGTATATCTGTGGTCAATTCTGCTGTTAATCAAAGAGCTTTTCACTGTCCAATGTTCGACTCTGTCGAAAGCCTTTTCGAAATCTATGAACGCCATATATAGAGGAATGTGGTATTCATTTGCTCGTTCTATAAGTATTTTTATACTTAGTAAATGGTCACTTATGCTGAATGCCTTTCTAAAACCAGCTTGTTCTTTCGACTGGTATCCATCGAATTTTGTCGTCAATCTATTGGTTAAAATTTTTGTTAGGAGTTAGGAGCATTTTAGCTTTGTGGATTTGTGAATATTTCGGGAATATTTTCGAAATTTTTTTGATTTTTACCGAACCTAACCTCAAACATGAAATGTAATGTGTGTAAGCAAATTAAA